AGGAACTGACCAAGCTTCTTCCACAGATGTCGAGCTTGGTGGACCCGATGGTGGTTCGAGTAGCTAATGGAGCACCTATGCAGTGCAAGACTGTCTATCGGGAGCTGCCATTCGAGATTCAAGGGCTGCCCGTCACCGCGGATGTGTTTGTGCTAGCCAGTCGCGGGTTTGACATGATTTTGGGTGTTCCATGGCTGTAGGGATTGGGACCTGTCACCAGTGATTGGCGTAGCTTAACGATGAGGTTCAAATGGCGAGACAAGGAGTGGTGTTTGCAGGGGCTGACCACGGCTCTGGGACCTGTTTCTTTCCTTGAGTGCATCACCGGGGAGGAGGCAGAGTTGCCGGTCATGTGCTGGCCGGTGGCATCGTTGGAGGACCAGGTGCTAGCCCCCGATCTTTAGCGGGTATGGGCTGGTTTTCCGGAGCTCTTTTGGTCGCCGACCACATTGTCGCTGCACCAGCAGGTCGATCATCACATTCAGCGAAAGGAAGGGATGGAGGCTGTGAACGTCCGCCCATATTGATATGGCGATTGCCAGAATCAGGAGATCGAGCGACAAGTGGAGGAGATGCTAGCGACCAGATTGATTCGGCCTACCACCAGCCCTTTTTCCTCGCCAGTGCTACTAGTTAAGAAGAAGGATGGGACTTGGCGCTTCTATACGGATTATCGGGCGCTAAATGCCGCGACGGTGAAGGATAGATTTCCGATCCCGACGGTGGATGATATGTTGGACGAGCTACATAGGTCGACATACTTCACCAAGCTCGATCTTCGAGCTGGGTACCACCAGATTCGGATGACGGAGGAAGATGCGCACAAGACCGCTTTTCGGACACATAATGGCCATTATGAGTACTTGGTCATGCCCTTCGGCTTGTGCAATACTCCCTCGACGTTTCAGGCGGCGATGAATGACATATTCCGGCCGCTGTTGAGACGATATGTGCTAGTATTTTTTGACTATATTCTAGCCTACAGTCCCTCTTGGGAGATGCATTTACAGCATTTGCAGGCAGTATTTGAGATATCGAGGCACCATCAGTACTACCTCAAAGCATCGAAGTGTGCGTTTGGGGTTCAGAAGGTGGAGTACTTGGGCCACATTGTCACTCCACAGGGGGTCCAGGTGGATCAATCGAAGATTCAGGCTATGGTCGAGTGGCCAACCCCGACTACTGTCTCCCAGGTGAGGGGATTCTTGGGTTTGACCGGTTATTACCGGAAGTTTTTGCAGGGATACAATATGATCGCCCGACCCTTGACTAATCTGTTGAAGAAGGGCGGGTTTGCATGGACACCAGAAGCAGACAGGGCATTTCAGCAACTTAAGCAGGCCATGACAACCACCCCGACTCTAGTCATGCCAGACTTTTCCAAGACCTTTGTGATTGAGGCCGATGCCTCGGGCAGGGGTATTGGGGCGGTACTATCTCAGGATCGCCACCCAGTGGCCTATATGAGTAAGAATCTGGCCCCATCCAAGGAGGCTTGGTTTACCTACCAGAAGGAGATGCAGGCTATTATCACAGCAGTGCAGATGTGGAGACCGTACCTTTTGGGACAGAAGTTTCACATTTACACTGATCACCAGGGTTTTTGGAATCTTTTGGGGCAGCGAGTTTCCACCCCCGACCAGCACAAGTGGGTCTCGAAGCTCCTTGGGTGTGATAATGAGATTCATTATCGACCAGTGCCCTCCAACTTCGTGGCCGATGGGCTCTCGCGGCGCTCGGGGGGCGAGGTACTAGCAGCAGTGTTGTCGATACAGATACCTACCTGCAGGGTCTTTTCATTTTCGCTATTGCAAATCTTTTCATTTTCTTTAATTAAATATGGTTCAGCTCGGACAAAAAGTGGTGTTTACACTACATATATCTATGCTTCTTTTTCATGTTTTCCCTATAATTGATTGACTAATGATATATGACATTTGTTGGGTTGGCCTTGTAACAGGCTAAGGTGAGTTGGATAAGACATCAGTGCATTATATGATGTGGACGATTCAGTAGGAAGCCAAGTTTGATATTATGTATATTGTGAAACAAGTTTTAATGCTTGACATTCTTCCTTTAGTTGTAAGCTATTGGTTGTTTTACTTTGAAAATTTCCTTTTTGATAATTTTTTGTATGAGTGAGTACTGTGTACGGTGAGTGAAGTAGGCAATTTGTAGCATGGATAATTTGTAATGTCAAGTTTTGAGGACCTAGTATAGAAATTCTTGAGAAAATTGAAAAGCACCAAAAAGTATTATTTTTAACGTATTAGCGACGGACTTCTTTCCTTCCCGTCGCTAATGTCTTCCTTAAATCTAACATTCCAAGGGTGTTGGTTTGTTGTTGAATATTGGAGCATAATGGCAGTAGTAGGCATTTTAAGAATTGTCTCAAAAAGCCTCAATTTTTGCTGCAATAATTCACCATAATAGCAGAAAGACAAATAGTGACCGTTTTCAACCGCAGCAAAAACCGTTGTACTGATATCCACCAAGGGTTGTCCGGACCGCTGTCGTACATTTGCAACGGTTCTCCTTGTGGTGATTGTGCAGGGGTCACTAGGACAGCTGACGGGCTTATTAGCAGCAGTATTTTAGTCGCCAAAAGTTAAAAATACCCCTGTTGTTGGTGGTTTTCTTTGTGACTTTGAGCCTGGAAAACAAGAGAGTAAAACGAATTGACTGGCTTCCTTTTTTATTTTGGTGTGTGTCATGTGTGTTAGAAAAGGTTCCCCCATCAGACGAATCCATTAACCTATATAAAAAGAATTACGGTCAAAATTCACTACATTGTTAGATAAAAGAACAGGTAATTCCGACTCCTGGCTAGCTAGTTCAAAGGTTAATAAAAATATTTCGAACTTTAAAGATATAGAAAAGAGGTGTGGGGGGATGGTGAGTTATTTTGGATGATCACTGGGTGGCTGGCGCTTGAGTTGTGGCTGTCTACAAAATTTGACCGGAATAGTCTTTCTCTCTTTAATTTGGAAGCTTCGACGACGTTTGTCTTCGTCAACCGTCAAGGCGAAAGCAGTACAAAATTCTTACATATGTATCCGGGCGGGGATGGGTTGCGTTGCTAACCCTATAATTAGTTAGTACTGTGTTAACCGGGCTCATCATTGTCCAAACAGAAATGCTGCAATCCAAGGATTATGTGTTAATGGGGTACTTTGGGAAGAGACAGTTGTAAAATGACGTGTGTCCTCTTCATTCACGGTGAAAATCTTGTGCGGAATTCCAACAGGTCCGCCCTTCCCTTTTCATTATTTTTTCTTCTTCTCCCTTTCCTCCTCGTCTCTTCTTTCTCTTTCATCCGAAAAGAAAATCGTTAGAAGAAAAGTGTCGTCCTTGCATCTCTCGTCGTCACCGTCCTTCCCGTTGTCGTAGCCGTCCTTACAACCCACGCCTGCATTTGCTTCAGCCTCGCCTTTGTTGTTGTCATCGTCTGCATCGGCGCCGCCTTCGCCTCCGCTACCCTTGCCTTCATTGTCGTCATCTGCATCGGCGCGCCTTCGCCTCTGTTACCTTCGTCGTCGTCGTCGTCTGCATCGTCCTCGGCTTCGGGTGGGTTAAAGCTCTGTTATAGAGGCCTTCGAGTGGGTTTGGAATTCCATATCTGGTCTCTTTCTTGTCCACTGGTTCAGATCTAGATTTGTAGTGATTGATGAGGCCAGTAGTTTGCACAGGCAGTTGTAAGGTTTCTTCAGATGTAGTGTTTTGACGTTTTCCTTGCAAGTAATGTTTTTTTAGTTCAAATTGTTATTAATTCTCAAGATTTGTAGTGTTTTTTTTTTGGGTTTTGCATATATGATTTTCTTATTTATTGAAGATATGTTATTCGGGCTTTCGGGTGGGTGTATGAAAGATCCCGGACTCCTTTTTGTTTGTTTGATCAGTGTTGCATGGAGTTCGGATCTTGATTAGTAGTAATTTTTAAGGACAGTAGAGATTCGTGATGTTGTGCAGAGGTATAGTAGTTTTTTTAATTTTAGTAGTGATTTTCAGTTCTTTTTAGTAGTGTTTTAACCTTATAGGAGTGAAGTTTAGTAGCGATTTAAGTTCTGTGTAGTAATAATTCTGTTACTAGTTATGTTAGTTTAGTAGTGATTTTCAGTTCTGGAAAAATAATGTTTGTGGTTATTTTGTATCAAACCATTGTCGTTTATGTTTCCCCACTAATAGTAGCCATTTGCTCAACTTGCATAGTTCATTATTCGCCGGTAATAAAATCCAAAAATCAAAACTGCATATCGGCAAAATCCCTAATACTACCACTATAGAGAATCACTACTATTCTAAAATATATTTTTTTTCTTCGCATTGCGTGGAGGCCGAAGCCAAGAAAACAGAGGGGGAGGCTACAGATGATTACGAAGAAGAAGAAGATGGTCGAGTAACTACTCGACGCGCAAAAGTTGTTCCCATGATGTCATCCCTAAGAATCGAACGTAGTCCAGTAGGGGGTTCCGCAAGTTCATGCATACCGTAGGGATAGACGAGACTGCTTCGAGAGCCAGTCGGCGGCTCTATTCCCTTCCCGGTAAGTATGAACAATGCGTACCATCCAATCGTAGCTCAGCTTTCTGCGGATGACAGAGAGGAGAGTAGCATAAGGATGGATCAGATCCAATCTGTTCTGAATGAGCTGGATGGCTACCTGGGAATCTGATTCAACAGTGATGACCCGTTGTCCCGTCTTCCACGCCAGCTCAAGGCCATAGTTGAATGCCCACAACTCCGCAAGTGCAGCTGTAGCTGTCCCAATGTTCGCAACAAAACCCCCTTGCCATTTCCCAGTCGAATCTCGAATGATGCCCCCCGCTCCAGCCTGCCCCGGATTTCCATTAGAGGCCCCATCTATGTTTAAAGTAACCCACCCCTCTTGTGGAGGAGTCCAACCAATGGTGGTCATTATCCGCTTCGCTAGGCGCCTTCTATTGTCAAGCATAAAGGAAGGAGCATGTCAAGAATTGTGCCAAATTTGGGTCTTCAAAGTAATGGAGTGTGCCAAAGATGGAGGTGAGAGCGCTGCCCCTATCCCTTTAAAAGCTGTTGTTGTTCGATTCTTCCAGAGCAGCCAAGTAGCCATACTAAAAAAGGAAGACCAAGGGATCCCAGTGTCCGTGGGGTCCTCGCAAAGCAGGTTCGCCCGTAGCCACTCGTCCTGGCTGGAAGAGAAGAATAGCAACTGCCGGTGGTTCGGGACTAGGCGGCTCCAGAGGTACAGTGCAGGCGGACAGTCTCTCAAGATGTGAAGGATTGTCTCGGGTTGATCTGTACATCTCAGGCAATGCGGTGCAGCCGCCACTCTCCTGTTGTACCGAATAAGATTGGTAGCTATCTTCCCAAGTAACGTCAACCAAATAAAGCACCGGACTCTTTTTGGCACTGGTAACCGCCATATCACCTTCTAAATTCTGTCGTTTTACGCGAGCTGATGTTGAGCGAGAAGAGTGTAGGAGGATTTGACTGAGAACCGCCCATCAGCTGAGGCATTCCAGAAAAGCTGGTCGTCCTCCTAGGAGATTTTGTCAACTGCAACACTCAAGATTTTCTGATTAACATCCATGGGTAGCAGGTCGGAGAAGAGCTCTGTTCGCCAACTCCCGTCGTCTTCAACAAATGCAGCAATAGGCGCCATAATTTGCTCTTCAGGAATAGCGCCCTCCGCCACTTCTTGAAGGGGAACCTGCAAAATCCAGGAGTCCAACCAAAATTTAGTCCGTTTACCATTCTTAATCTTCCACGCACATCCTTTTTTAAGAAGATTTGCAGCTTTAGCAAAGCTGCTCCAGGTAAAGGAACTTCCCTGAGATGGGCGTAGAATGTCAAGGTCTTGTCTTTGTCGGCCGTACTTCGCCACCAGCACTTGAGACCATAAAGAATCTCTCTCTTTAAGGAGCCTCCAGCCACTCTTCGCTAGCATAGCAATGTTTTCCTATCTACCAGGTCTTAAGCCCACTCCTCCTTGTGACTTTGGTAGTGAAAGTCTCTCCCACGCCACTAGATGGATCTTGGACTTGTTCTCCTCATCACCCCAGATGAAATCCATGCTGATTTTGTCAATACTATTGCAAACACCATTTGGGATTAGTTCAGTTTGCATGTTATAGACAGGCAAAGAGGCAGTCACTGAATTGGCTACAGTGAGGCGAGCAGCAAACGATAGCCGTTTTGCTTTCCAAGGAGCCATCTTCTTCTGAATTTGGAGGAGAAGTGACTGGTATCTGCCTTTGGTGACTCGTTCCTGTATCACCTGAATGCCTAAGTAGTGTCCCATAGCAGCTTTCAGAGGAATCCCGACCCTTCTGCTTAAACGGGCATCCTTGTCCCTGGCAACATTGGGAGAAACATATAGGATCAATTTACTGTAGTTCACCCTCTGTCCTGAACTGGAGCAAAAATCAGCCATGCACTTCTTCACGACACTAATCTGCCGGCTTTCCGCTTCAACAAATAGCAGGAGATCATCTACAAAGAAAAGATGTGTGAGTGTTGGTCCATTCACAGAAATTTTAATCAGTTTCCAACGACCATTCGCTACCGTTTCATCAATCTTATGAGACAAACGTTCCATGCAAAGGACAAAAAGATAGGGAGAAAGAGGGTCTCCCTGACGGACCCCTCGTGAGGGGGTGATGGGCTGGGAGAGCTCTCCGTTCCAAAGAATCCGCATCCTGTTCTGCTCTACGCAATACATAATACAGTTTATCCATGTACTAGGCAGCCCCACTTCCTTGAGAGTTTCTCTCAGGAAATACCATCTCAGCATGTCATACGCCTTCTCGAGATCAATCTTGAACACCAAACCTCCCTTCTTTCCCCTCCTCTTTCAAAGAGAGTGAAGCACTTTTTGAACTACTATAATGTTGTCCGTCGTCTGTCTGCCAGGGATAAAACTGCTTTGCCTAGGCGAGATATGTTTTCTCATAAGCGGTTTCAACATGTGAGTCATTGCCTTCGTAATTGCCTTGAGGCTGACATTGTTAAGAGAGATTGGGCGAAGATGAGACACTCGCTCCGGGCTGTCCACTTTTGGGATCAGAACGAGAGTGGACTCTGAAGTGGCTTCAGACAAGGAACCTGCATTGAAGAAAGATAAAACCATCTCCGTGAAGGTCTTCCCAATAATGCTCCAAAACTGTTGGTAGAAGGCAGCATGATAGCCGTCCGGACCCGGAGCCTGTAATGGTTTCATCTCAAAGATTGCCTTGTGAACATCAAAGATGGTGATCGGACGAAGAAGCATAAGGAGCTCCGTCTGATTCAGGTGAGGGAAGGCATTCTTGGGCATTATGTATTCAAAAGGGGAGTCATCCTGCAAATACACGTCAGTAATACAGTTAAAAACCAGATTAGCAAGGACTTGAGAGTCAGTCACCCAATTTCCATTAGCATCCTGTAGAGCTTTGATCTTGTGGCGGCGGCAGCGAATGTTAACTTGCTGGTGAAAGTAAGCTGTGTTTCTCTCCCCAAACTTCACCCACTTATCCCGAGAGCGTTGGTACCACAAAAGTTCCTCCTGCTCAAGGACTTTGTCCAAATCCGCTTCAAGCTTTTTATGCAGCTTGGCCAGCCCGGGCAAAAAACAAGCAGAGAGCCTGTCTTCAACACCTTTAATTCGCGCTATAATTCGGTTCTTCCTCTTTTGGACATTCCCAAACTTGTTAAAGTTCCAATCCTACAAGCTCCCTGCAAGCTGAAGCATAGAACTCTGAAATGGGACTTGATTATCCCAAGACTCCCTCACAACATCCTGGAGGTTGTTGTGCGTGAGCCACGCGGCTTCGAACTTGAAAGGGCGGCTGCCACAATGAGTGGGTTGTTGGCCAGCAACAGTGGTAAGAATTGGGTTATGGTCGGACTGGCATCTGGATAGGTGTTCGATGGTAGTGTTGGGGAAAGCAGAGTTCCAGAGCACATTACAAAAGCTCCTATGAAGCCGGCTGGCCTTGAACGTCTGATTTTGATCCCCCCGACTCCAAGTGAACTTTGGCCCGGAGAAACCTAGATCAATGAACTCTGCCAGGTTAATTCTGTCGTTGAAAAGCCTGCATCTCTTCATAGAGTTCCTGGCGGGAGGTCTGGACTTCTCATCTAAGCTTCGAATCGCATTGAAATCCCCGGTGATAAGCCAGGGGAAGTCAATACGCTCGCTTTGGCTTATCAAACGGTCCCACAGTATTCGCTGCTGGCTTTGCTTCGGGGATGCATATACTGCTGTCAACAGCCACGGGGGCGCATTTGCTTGAGAGATCCGGAGGGATAGCTGTTGCAAACACGCCGAGAATAAGGAAACTGTGAACTTGCTCGCGTCCCAGAAAACCCAAATGCCCCCACTCCTGCCTTCGGCTTTGACTCTGATGGAGTTTGGATAGCCGAGCCTATCACAAACCGAATTAGCAGCAGTGCCGCTGATCTAGGGCTCTAGCAGGATGAAAAAATCTGGATGGAACTTCTGGATTATCATCTTAAAAGCTCAGAAGAAAGCTCTCCCCCCTACTCCTCCAACATTCCAAGAAAAGAAAGAAAGATTAGTATCAATCGACATAGACATTAAAAACAAAAAGAGAAGGAAGAGGGTAAAGAGAGTGGAAGGAAAGAAGATGAGGGTCAAGTGGGAGGGGTGTTCGCCCCCGTCGGAGCTTCGCCAACTGGGATCTCCGGGTTCTTCGCTCCACTCGTCTGTTTTGCCAAATTAGCTGCATTCGTCCATGCCGAGATCTCCTGCAGAGTTAGGGACGCCATCCTGGATTTCGTCTTCGCTTTCCGCTCCTTGGTTGGTGTCCAAATCTGTAAAGGCTTCGTGGGATTAAGCTTTGCCGGCGATTTCCGATCATGGGATTTTTGGGTCTTCTTTCTTTTAGTTCTAGCCGCTGTCGACGGTGAAGCTTGTTGGGAGGTGCCGCAGATATTGTTCCCCGAAGGGGGCAGCATCACAATCTGCATCGTCGTTTCATTTGGGCCGGTCACCGTTTGGAGAGGAGGTGGAGGATTCTGGCGGATGGGGCTACAAAGATGGGCTTCGAGAGGATCCGATGTATCCTTGGCGAGCTGGTCTATTAATGGGCCTTGTCGTGTGTTTGAACTTTTGGTCGAGGGAGAGGCCTTTAGAGGGTCACTACTGGGCTTTGGCCCATTGGAATTCGAGGGGTCCCGCCCAGGTCTTGTTCCTAATATTCCCTTGCCGCCAGCTGCATCCTCAGAAACCACTTTCCCTTTCCCTTTTCTCGCTTCATCTCTCGCGTTCCTCCCGTTAGTGCCTTTTCTATCCTGGTTAAAGATCCGTTGCTGGCGGGGATCACTAGGCGCTGTCAGTTTAAGTAAGGCATTTGCGCTTTCCTTTGCGCGAGTAGAACGCTTTCCCAAATTACTTGCAACGGCTCCATGCGAGATCCCCATATCCTTCTCGGACTTTCCTTTTTTATGTGAGTCTCTTTGATTCCGCCGGCTCTTACGCGTGACCATCATCCACGGCCCGAAGCCCGCGTTTGGTTTTGTCGTCGCCGGCGCAACCGGCATATTGTCATTGCCGATCAGGAGTAGGGTAGGGGTCATCGTGGCCAGTGAGAGCTTGGGGCAAGTCGCCAATGAGTGTCCGATCTTGCCGGACTCAAAATACACTTCAGGAAGATTTTCGTATTCCACTTTTTGCCACTCATCGTCTAGCCAAATTCGGGGAACCAGGTGTTTTGATAGATCCACCTCAACAGCTATACGGGCAAACTTGGCACGTTGCCGGTTGAGAGTGTGGTAGTCCAATTTGATTGTTCTTCCGATCAAATTCCCTAGAGTCGTCAACACTTCCTTATGATAAAAATGTACCTTCAAAGCTGGCCGCTGAACCCACACAATCATTGTTTTGGGGAGAGGATCAGAAACCTTGAACTGTGGAGTCCATTGATGTACGACCAAATAGTGATCGAAAATAACCCAGGGACCATCTGTCAGAGCGCGGAAGTAGTCCTGATCATTGCTCAACTTTACCAGAAAACAATCGTGATCTAGATCCATGACTTCCATCGTTCCTACCGGCTTCCACATTCCCCTTAGGCGAGAGCAGATCATGGAGAAGCCGATCCGAATACCTAACAGCCGGACCACCAGAGTTCGTTGCCAAGGGGCGCAGATTCGATTCTTGAAGTCTGCTGACACATTCAGAGCAGGCTCGCCATTTCGTTCACCCGGGATCAGGTCATGTTCTCCTACAAGGGTCCAATTGATCATCGGGATTAGCGTCGGGGTAGGTTGTTTCCATCCCATCACCGCGTTGGCATAGGTGAATGGTTGTTGAGGCCTCCCTGTATTTGCCGGCTCTATCGTCGTGTCCTTCCCTGCTACATTCTGTTCACCATTCTCAGTCAAGCCTTGTGGCGATTGGTGGGACTGATCCGCAGTCACATCGAGGATCATGTCCGCGGCGCCAGTCCCTAGAGCATTCATTGTTTGTTGGGATCGGGAAAGGGGGTCCCTAGAATCGTTCGTTGATTCCGGTCGCCGATCCGGGGGGACAAGCACCGGTGACGGAGTCGGAACACAGGGGTCGCCGGGGGCAGTTGAGAGCATCATTTAGTTGATATATCGTTTGGCCACTAGTAATGAATCTACAGAGAACAATTAATACTCCTCAGAATTTCTATCACCAAGAATAATGCTATTAAATTTCTATTAATGAGAGAGAGAATGAGGAGAGATACGTGATTGAGAAAGAGAGGGGAATAATTATTGGAGTAAAAATTGAATCCTTAATAAAACCCCTTTATCAAAATTATAAATACAAACAGCTAGGCAATCCCACAAAATCCGCCCCTATCATAAAAAAAACATAATTTAATTCATAATTTAATATTTTTGTTCTTGAATTCCGATTATAACCTTGTTAGTATGGTGCTAACCTCCTATGAAGTTAGCACCGTAACTTCTCCCATCCGGACGAATCGTTTAACATCAATTAAATTGGGATAAAATAAACCCAATTACACTAATTAATTCATTAACGCCATGGATGATGGATATGGAAAAGTAATGACTATGATTGACTACAACACGTACCGCACTACCGGAGATAATCTGGTTTATGTTAGGAGAAGTTAAATTGTATCGGATGTTGAATCGAAAAAGTTAACAATAAATATATTTTCTATTGAAATTGTTGTTTAATTAGGACTCAACCACTTCATACCACTACACCTGCCTACTGAATTAAGTTTCCGATATGGAATTTTTATGATCGGACCGCCGATATAGTTTCATAATTGAGGCAAGGCCAACCAATGTTTGTTAACATGTATAAAACTCATTTGGCAACTGGCCGGGTCGGGAGCGAATAGTGCGTATCCGTTACCATACCTAAAGTAGTTCGGGTTTTAATCATATCCATAACCACATGAGAAACGGTTAGAAAACAAAACCATGCTCATACTCGTTCGGGTTCCGGGTATCCATGGTTATCAATGTTAACATTCACATTTGTACTCACATTACGTAAAAGGAAAATTACGAAAATAATTCACTAGAATGAAGAAAATTAATTAAAAATACAATTTCATAAAAGTATTATATATATGCTAAGTATAAAATATGTTAAAGATAAATATTGATTATTTCTAGACAAAATACATATGCATATACATAATCGGGCGGGTTCGGGTTGGATAGTGAGAAAACCATGCCCACCCATATCCACTAAAAGGCCTTCGTGTTCAGGTTTTACCCTACCTGATTAGGTCGAATTCGGGCGGATATCCATGGTTACAGATATTTTTGCCATCCATAACCATTTACATCCATCTTACACATGTGTTGTCTTTTAGTTGGGATATTCTTCTCACTAGAGAGGAATTATTAGAGGTGGTAATTTGAATTCGATCCACCATTGTAAAATAAAATAAAAATGAATTTCTAATATAAAATATGAATATACCAGGTCGCTGATGAAACCCGTTAGCCACCAAACGAGTCTTGTAGCATTCAATGGACCCATCAGGATGATGTTTTACTCGGTAGACCCATCGATTGCCCAAAACATTGTAGTGTGGTTGACGAGGAACTAATGTCCAAATATTATTGGCAATCGACGGTAATCAGCATCACATGAGCTCGAATTGCAGCGGAGATATGAGCAAATTCTGGACGAAGCCTACGCAAACACTGAAGAACCATATTTGTGTCTGAAACTGGATCTTACACCATTGACAGTTCATCCGCAGTCGATTTCATCTTTATAAGGTAAGTTTGAACATCTCTATTCCCTTGCTTCTCCCGACCCAGCCGTTCTTTGAGATTCATAATACGGGACTGACCACGACTAGCAAAAAGCTTCTCAAGAACAATCCAAGCCTCACGAGCAGTGGAAACAGAGGTGACAAATGTATAGATTGGTTCAGAAACAGAGCATCGAATAGCATGGAGTATCAACTTATCTTGACGAAACCAGTGTCGATACACCGGATTCGGAACAAGAGCACCCTCCTTGGTGGCCTTTTTGGAGGAGCAAATGTGGTTCCATCGATGAAGCCTACGAGATCGAGACCCATAAGAAGGATTTCAAGTTGAGACCGCCACAATGGGAAGTTGGTCGACGTCAATTTGAGAGATAATTGAGCAGCCGGATTGAATGTAATGAGAGGATCTACTGCAGCTGGTACAGATAATTGACCTTTGGTGGAACCAAAAGCCACTGTAATGACTCAATTGAGTTTGTAGAGTGCCTGTAATTACTGGGAATGAATTGAGCGGGTGACAAGAAGACCAGCAGGAAAGAAAAAATAATATAGAATGATGGCCAATGGAAGAGAAAAGGAAGCCAAGAGAATTGTTTCTCTGGTTCAGGAATGGAAAGCAAGACAAGTTGTTCTTTCTTGCAAGAAGAGAAAAGAATGAAAAAAAGGAAAAGTCTGGATCAAAGGTCTAGATGACCTTTTCTAGATTTGATCCTTATTATGATTATATGTATTTGGGGGTTTGAATCATGTATATTATTGATACTATTAGAGGATATATATACATGTACAAGGAGTAGTTTATGGAGCTAATTGAGGTAATACAAATAATTACAGGAGTAGTCTATGGAGAAAATTAAGGTAATACAAATAATTACAATTGATGGTGAGGCTGGATTTGTGGTGATTCAAAATTCATAAGTTATGATTTTAAATATCACTATTATGCCCATGGATGTCATATCAACGACTCCAATTTTGGACCGAAGGAGGAGACGAGGACTAGACAATGGCTTGGTTAGGGCATCGGCCAACTGATTAGTGGTTGAAATATGTTGAACTCGTAATCGACTGGCTTGGACAAGTTTTCGAACAAAGTGGTAGTCAAGAGCTACGTGCTTCATACGAGAATGAAATCGTGGATTGGCACTGAAGTATGTGGCCCCCAAATTGTCCGAATAAAGTACAAGTGGTGTGGTGACTGAATGATGAAGCTCTTGTAATAAATTCTGCACCCATTCTAGTTCAGCTGTAGAATGAGTAATGGCACAATATTCAGCTTTGAACTGGAGCGAGCAACCGTATGTTGTTTTTTCGATCTTCAGGAGATGAGATTAGACCCTGAGTAGATGAGATAAGCGGAGATAGAGGTTTGATCATCATGATTACCAGCTAAATCAGAATCAACAAATGCAGATAGATTTAGAGGAAGCGATTGGCGACGAATAGATAGTCCATAATGCATGGTGTCACGAACATAGCACAAGAGACGCTTGGCACATTGCAGTGGATGGAAGTAGGAGCATGCATAAACTGAGATAGCTTGTTAACTGCAAATGCTATGTCAGGTCGAGTGTAGATAAGATACTAAAGATCCCCGAGTGCTTGCCGATATTGGGTTTCCATCAGCAGGCGGACTACCATCTTCAAGCGAGAGAGTAGTTGTAGTCGAGAGAGGAGTAGCAACCGGGTTGGCTTCAAGCATATGAAACAGAGAGAGAATGTCATGCATGTACTTGTGTGAGAAAGAAGAAAGCCCTCACTGGTGGGAATAACTTCAATGCCAAGAAAGTAGTTGATATGACCCAAATGTTTGAGAGAGAACTTTTGAGATAGTTGATCCTGAAATGCAGATAGAGTCTTCACATCATATCCCATTAGAAGTAAATCATAAACATAAATGGAAGTAGAGAGTAATATGTTGTTGATGATAGATGAATAGGGAGGCATCGGAACTAAACTTTCGAAAGCCATGGTCTTCAAGAAAGGAGCTCAATGCAGTATACCAAGCACCTGGCACTTGTTTGAGACCATAGATAGCCCGGTTAATTTGACATACCATATTGGTAGTAGCAGGTTGATGAAATCCAGGTGGTTGTTCCATATATACTTCTTCTTGTTATGGGCCTTGAAGAAAAGAATTATTCACATCATATTGAAAGATAGGCCAATTCTGAGAGAGAGAGAGAGAGAGAGAGAGACACACACTAAAACACAACACCTAACAATGGACAAGTGTAACCAATGAAAGGGACTGCAGTATAGTGACACAAGTAATAAATATCGAATCCACGGGTCTCTAGAGTTACTATTACTCAGCTTCAGTTCATTATCTAGCAACTAGATTAAGGATTGATTTACTAAACTACTATACTAATTACAAGTTGGGAACTCACTTAGGTATGATTCCCCCTGGCTCCTAAATTAGGTCCAAGTTGCAATTACCTTTGGTTGATCTACTGTTGATTAAACTGCAGAAGATCCTAAATTAGCTTGGAATCTCTTAAGCTGACCAAGCCCTCTTCGACAGAATACCCGGCAGGCGACTAGCCTTCACCGGGATAGACTGCTAAGGCGATTCACAGAGATCTCCACTATTGAAATGAATTCCAATACAAAGCAGTGAATTGATTGACTCTCGCACAACCAATTCACCACTATCAATCAAGTAAGCTCTCTTAACCTAATCAGATTCTATCTATCATAGGTTAAAGCTGAAATCAAGAGAAGATGATCAGGCTTCAATTGACTCAATAAATCATTCCTCAATCAATTATAATCAAACAATATAGCATCTAAAACTTCATACAAGAAAGATCCTAACACATGGAACTAGGATTCCTCAAAACCTAAGTGAAGGGAGTTTACTCCATAGAGAAGAGAGAGACTGCAGAAATCTGATCTAGATCTTCAATCTCCAACTCCAAGCTTGATTCCCGAGCTCTAATGACTAAGAAATCCTCCAAAACAGCTCCAAGAATGTTCCCAAGTCGCTCTCCCTCTTTAGGGTTCGTCCCTTGGGTGATTGGGAACCAAAACCCAGCTCCCTCTCTCTTTTGGCTTGAATCTGCCTCAAAAACCCAATTCTGGGCAAAACACGGTCGAGTACACGGCCGTGTTTTAATTTTGCCCGCCCGTGTTTTGCCCCCAGCAGCCCTCACGATACGCCCTTGACAGTAAAAACACTAGCGGGGGGCAGATAAAACACGGCCGTGTTTTTAGGGTAGTCTACCCGTGTTTTTACTGCCGAACATGTTCCCCTATATTCAATGCTTCGTTTCTCCCTCGTCCAAACTCCGAATCAGTCGTCGTTTGATCCCAGACGCTCGTAGTCTCGTCCCATAA